TCTTTCTTTCTTTCTTTCTTTCTTTCTTTCTTTCTTTCTTTCTTTCTTTCTCTTTCTTTTTCTTCTTCTTCCTCTCTGTCTCTCTCTGTCTCTCTGTCTCTGTCTCTGTCTCTGTCTCTGTCTCTGTCTCTGTCTCTGTCTCTCTCTCTCTCTCTCTCTCTCGGCAATTGAAGTTAAGTGACTTACCCAGGGTCACACAGCTAGTAAGTGTCTGAGGTCACATTTGAACTCAGACCCTCCTGACTCCTGGGCTAGTGATCTGTGCACTTCCCATGGGTCCTTCCGATCATCTCTTCCAATTGTCGATTCCAAGACAATTCTATTAAGATGCCTTCAAAGACTGGGCAAGTCACTTAACCTCTCTGGGCCTCAGTTTCCTTGTCTCTAGAATGGCAAGATTTAATGCAATGGAATGAGCATGGATTAAGTGCCTACTGTATACCAGGTACTATGCAAAGACAAAATAGTCCCTGCTCTCAAGGAACTCACATTCTGCTGACTTGGATTCAATGACTTCTGTGGTCTCTTCCAGATCTAAATTCAGGGATCCAGTTCTGCAAACAAGGAGGACAAGGTGGTGGAGCCAAGATGGCGGAGTGAAAACAGTGACTTGCTTGAGCTCTCCCCAAACCCCTCCAAAGACCTATAAAAAATGGCTCTAAACAAATTCTAAAGCAGCAAAACCCACAAAAAGACAGAGTGAAACAAATTTCCAGCTCAAGACAACCTGGATGGTTGATCTGAAAGGTATATCATGCTGGGCGAGGAAAGGAGTGCAGTGGGGTGTGGGCACGAAGGCCGCAGTGACCCTGGAGCAGGCCTCAGAGGGCTGAATCACAGGCAGCTGTGGCGGTTTCCAGACTTCTCAACCCATGAAAGCCAAAGACAACTTAGAAGGTCAGTGGGAAAAGTCTGTGACTGTGGTGAGAGAGGAGCTAGGTCTCAGTCACAAGTCCAGAGCATGCCCTTGGGGCAGTGGCTGCCTCCTGAGCTTCCGGCCCATAGACTGAGGGGGAATAGAATGGCTGATCAGAGGGGGATTGCAGGGTTCTCTTTGTCAGTGCTGAGGCAGGAATTTCTTGCTCTGCCCATGCTTGGATCTGGGTCACAGTTCTGAGAGGTGGTCCTGGGGGCGAGGAGGAGCACTGGCGTGGTGGAGTTTGTTGTGGTGGTGTATAGGAAACACCTCACCCCTTATCATACCACCTTGGAAGAACTGAAAATTTACAGGTCCCTAGAAGTAGCTCTGAAAACAGCTGTATAAACCCCCAAAGCTTGGAACAGTACATTCTCCATATTGGAAACAGACTCTTACCTTAACAAAGAGTTTAAAACTCAAGTAATTGGCCAGGATCATGAGTAAGCAGCGCAAAAAGAGTCAGACTATATTATCTTACTTTGGTGACAAAGAAGATCAAAACATAAGACCAGAAGAAGACAACAAAGCCAAAGCTCCTACATCCAAAGCCTCCAAGAAAAATATGAACCAGTCCCAGGCCTTGGAAGAGTTCAAAAGGGATTTTGAGAAGCAAGTAAGAGAAGTAGAGGAAAAACTGAGAGTGATGCAAGAAAATCATGAAAAACAAGTCCATAGCTTGCTAAAGGAGACCCAAAAAAATACTGAAGAAAATAACACCTTAAAAAATAGCCTAACCCAAATGGCAAAGGAGGTCCAAAAAGCCAACGAGGAGAAGAATGCCCTAAAGAGCAAAATTGGACAAATGGAAAAGCAAGTCCAAAAGATTACTGAAGAAAATACTTCCTTAAAAATTAGAATAGAGCAATTGGAAGCTAGTGACTTTATGAGAAATCAAGACACTGTAAAACAAATCCAAAAGAATGAAAAATTAGAAAACAATGTGAAATATCTCATTGGAAAAACAACTGACCTGGAAAATAGATCCAGGAGAGAGAATTTAAAAATTATGGGACTATCTGAAAGCCATGATCAAAAAAAGAGCCTAGACATCATCTTTCAAGAAATGATCAAAGAATACTGCCCCAATATTTTAGAACCAGAGGGCAAAATAGAAATTGAAAGAATCCACTGATCTCCTCCTGAAAGAGATTCCCAAAGGAAAACTCCTAGGAATATTGTAGCCAAATTCCAGAATTCCCAGGTCAAGGAGAAAACATTACAAGCAGCCAGAAAGAAACAATTCAAGTGTTGTGGAAACACAATCAGGATAACACAAGATTTAGCTGCTTCTACATTAAGGGACTGCAGGGCATGGAATATGATATTCCGGAGGGCAAAGGAGATAGTATTACAACCAAGAATCACCTACCCAGCAAAACTGAGTATAATCCTGCAGGGGAAAAAATGGTCATTCAATGAAATAGAGGACTTTCAAACATTCTTGATGAAAAGACCAGAGCTGAATAGAAAATTTGATTTTCAAATACAAGACTCAAGTTGAACATGAAGAGGCAAACAGGAAAGAGAAATCATAAGAAACTTATTAAGGTTGAACTGTTTACATTCCTGCATGGAATGATGATATTTGCAACTCATGAGACCTTTGTCAGTATTAGGGTAGTTGGAGGGAAAAAATTAAAAAAAAAATTATATGTGTATAGATAGATAGAGGGCACAGGATGATTTGATCTGGAGAATAAAATTAAGGGGTGAGAGAGGATTATACTAGGAGAAGGAGAAAAAGGGAGAGGTAGAATGGGGTAAATTATCTCACAAAAAAAAACAGAAAAGAAAAGGCTCCTACAGTAGAGGGGAAACAGGGGAAGGTGAGAGGGAATGAGTGAATCTTATTCTCACAGGATTTGACTTAAGGAGGGAATAACATACACACTCAATTGGGAATAGAAATCTGTCCTACCCTATAGGAAAATAGGGAGGGAGGGGGACAAGAGAGAAGGAGGATGATAGAGAGGAGAGAAGACTGGAAAAGTGGGTAATCAGAAACAAATACTTCTGAAGAGGGACAGGGTCAAAAGAAAGAATAGAATAAATGGGGGGGCAGGATAGGATTAAGGGAAGTAGTGTTAGTTTTTCACAGCATGTCTACTATGGAAGTGTTTTGCATAACTGCACATGTATAACCCATATTGAGTTAATTGCCTTTTCAATGAAGGTGGGTGGGGAGGGAGGAAGTGAGAAAATTTGGAACCCAAAGTTTTAAAAACACATGTTTAAAAAAAAATGTTTTCACATGCAACTGGGAAATAAGAAATATAGGAAATGGGGTACAGAATTCTATCCTGCCCTACAGGAAAATAGAAGGGGAAGGGGATAAGAGAAGGGGGGGGAGAGATAGAAGGTAAGGCATACTAGGGGAAGGGGTATTCAGAATGCATACCATCTTGGGGTGGGGGAGGGGTGAGATGGGGTGAAAATTTGAAACTCAAAATCTTGTGGAAGTTAATGTTGAAAACTAAAAATAAATAAATTTATTAAAAAAAAGAAAAAAACAAACAAACAAGGAGGACAAATAAAGAGAGAAAATAGGATGAATGGATTTGTAGGAGCCAAAACTGGGTTAAGAAGCCCCAGGACGATTTTCTCTCCTCTCAGCTGTGATAAAGTTTGACCATGAAGGATCCAGGTCAGCCTCTACGTCCCTGGGTCCCATAGTCACCGATCTTAGGATCTGAGTTCTAGTCTTAACCCCCAAATCACCACCACTATCTCTCCTAAGTTTGGCCTTTTGGTTTTTGACTAATGCCTCTTGTTTTCGTGTCACTTTCTTTCTGGATCTGACCACACCCCGTCCACGCTGAGGGCCTCCCTTTGTGGTGGAGAAAAAAGTTAAGCAAAACCAGCTCACGTAGCAACTGTTTCTGACAACACATGAAACATTTGGATTTCATAGAAGTCCTCTTGGAGGAAGGGAAGGAGGGAGTGTTTGGTCATTACAGTGGCAGATCAGTGGGCTTTGTTTTACATCTGTGACGGTATTTTGTATCTCTTTTACCTGGTGGACTCACTCTTCTCAGAACCAGTTCTTAGAAGTCTTCTCAGCTTTGGGAATTGGGGGTAACCAAACATAGGAGACCCCAACTGGCACAAAGTCACGAAAGCCAGCCATATTTCAGTCACTGCCCAGTTAGGTGATGACAGCATGGACCCTTGCCGATTTAGACTGGATGCCATGACACAGAGATTAAAGCAACCCATGGTCAGGAGACTTAAACTTAACTGTTTAAGTATTATTACCTTAGGGATGCCCCAAACCCCCGTATCCCCCTCCCCTCCCTACAAAAACATTTTTCCTCCTGGCCCAACTGAGTACTTGAAATTGCCATCATTACTCAATCCTGGGAGGTTAAGACTTTGAAAGCATGGAGGTAATGTGGGGTAGTGAAAAGTATCTTGTATCTGGGTTCATGAACATGGGTTCAAGACTCATCTCTGCTACTTCCTTGGACAAATCATTTCCACCCTCTGGGCCTCAGTTTCTTCATTTGTAAAACGAGGAGGTTGGAGTATATGACATCTAAGTTTCCATCCTGCTGTAGGTAGTAAAATGTAAGTGTTATCTGAAAGGGAGAACTCTTATCACCCTTAGCCTGAATCAGGTAATCCTTCAGAGGGACCATGGTGCTAGAGGAAAGGGAAGCCTGAATGGGTCTAGCCTCAGTTCTACTACTAGGCAGTTATGTGACCTTAGCTAGGGAAGTCACTTCACCTTTTGGGGACTCAGTCTCCTCATTTCACCTCTGTGACCTTCCTCTCGGCCCCAATCTTCCCCATCTTGGGATCCTGAGGTTGTTGCAATTCTCTGCTAGGGCTTCACCCCAGTTTGAGGGAAATTAGCCCCAGGTGGCTGGTTTCCTTTTTCATGGTGGGAGGCCAGTGGGGCTTTATGACTTGGAACATACTTGGGAAAAACAGAAACAAATGGAGCCAGAGCCAGACCCTTTGGAATGTGAATCCCAGAGGGTGGAGCCTACCAGAGAAAGAGGGGGACAGCACTCTATATACTCGAGCATTCGGTTAGAGGAGCAACGACTGACTTGAGGCAATTCTGCAGCAGCTTCTTCTCCAAGCATTACAACCAGGTAACTAGCCAACCGACGCTTTGTCCTGTTCTCTCTCTCTCTGTCTCTTTCTCTGTCTCTCTGTCTTCCTGTCTCTCTCGCTCTCATCTTCTCGCTCTTTTTCTCTTTCTCTCGTTTTCTCTCTCTGTCTCTTTTCTCTCTTTCTCTCCTCCCTCTCTTTCTCTCCCATCTCTTCTCTTCTCTCTCATCTCTTTTCTCTTTCTTTTTCTCTCAT